GAAAATGGACTGTAAAATTAAAGAGTATATATAAATATATATTTATGGTATTACTTTTGTTTTTATAATTTATAGTTATTTTTCAAAGATATTAACTAATAAACTAAATTGTGTAATAAACAGTATAATTACAACTTTTACTATAATTTTGATTTTTGTATCTGCTTCGTGTACCTTTATATGTTTGTATGATTAATAATCATAAGACAGATGCGCAATTGTTAAACAAAAGTATGGAATAAGTATGTTGCGTTGTGAAAGAAAAATTTTTAGTTGAATTTATCTTCAATTTTAAAATTCATTTTTGTATTTTATTTATTTATATGATAATTGTTATGTTTCTTTCTTTTTGTTACCTTTGCTTCCAAGGTTTCTAGTTGCGCCATTCTTGGTTCCAGAAATTGCTGTTGCGCTCCAGTTCCAGTATGCAGAGCGGTCTGAAAGGAAAAAAATAAGAATTATTGGTAGGGTGATATCATTAATTAATTTCTCAGTAATTTCTCACTATGTGCTCGTATAAGTCAATTATGAGTTAATTATAAGTTAATGGTACAAGTAATTATGAGGTAAATATTATACATTAAACCAAAATGTGATATGTTTATAAATAATTGTAAGAAAGGTATACTTAAAATACGAATTACTATTTCTTCATTTTATTTGCATTATTGAATTACTATTTAAATTTTTTCAATTTTATTTCCATTACTAAATTTTTACCTTTTTACATTATTTTTTTAAATAAATTGTTATTGTTCCTTTATTAATATTCTTGAATTCCTCATTTTTTTTAAAAATTTATTTCAATTATTAAATAACTATTTTTTCATTCTAACTCCATTATTGAATTAGCATTTTTCTATTCTATCTCTATTAATAAATAATTATTATTTCTCTATTTTATTTCTGTAACTGAATTCCTATCTTTTCATTTTATTTCTATTATCGAATTATTATTTTTCCATTTTAGTTTAATATCTCTGTTTGCATTTTATTATTTACTGAAATATCAAATGACCCAATAAATTTGAAAACAGGATACAACGACGTGATATTTTGTTATATTTCATGTCATTTTTATAGCTTGGAAATATAATTAATATTCAAGTATTAACTGTTAATGCTATTTATTTTGCCTCAACGTGTTACGAACGTACAACCTGGAAGAGTTGTAACGCAACAACTGTTAATTTAATGAACCATACTTTTAACTACATGTACATTTCGTGGTACACGGTGGGACCGTGGTTTTCCTGTTATGATGAGCGTCGTCCTTCTTGAGTCTTCGCAGTAAGATAATACTCGTGGTGCTCGGAACATTTTTTAACGGGTGATGAGTTTTCAGCGATGAGAATGGTGGTAATCGTGTGCACGCAATAATTATAATTATAACACGATAATCATCTTATCAATGATATATTCTCTACGAAACTCACAATTAATGGACTAATTTTAAATAATGAAGACTTTCTTCAACGCACGTAATTTCTTCATACAGTCGACAATTTTTTTTTAATAAATTCCGTGTTGTGATTTATTTTTATTATTAATTTTATCAGTAAAATGAAGACTGGAAATTTTTATAGATTCTGAATGCCTGGAGATGTAATTTCTGTATTGAGAACTTTAAGGTTTTAATTAGTGTTTAGAAATAATTTTAATTCAGGAATAATTGACATTAATTAATCTAAATATTAACGTGTAATTAACAAATAAAAAGGCATAATATTCAGGTATTTCCCACGTCAGTATATTAGGACGAAGCAAAACTGAAAATTTATTGCAATTTTGAAATGTGACACGCAGAAAAGGTAAACATGGTAAAGAAATATTATCTATTCTAAATAATTTTTATATAAAAAACAATAATGTAATATTGAAAGATAAAAGGTAATAAAAATTTGAATAAAAAATAGGGTAATTAAAAAAAGGAGTTTTTACAATTTTTAACAAACATGAATTTATAAACAAGGATTATTTTCAGGATAACTCTATTTTGTATTTTGTATTTTTATTCTCATACAGTATAATATAGTATTCTATAGTGTCTAGTATAATGTAATAGTTACATGTAACACAAAATATATGTAAGTCTGAACAAACAAGGTAATAATAGTAAATTCGCACTTAACCTTCCTTAATTAATTTCTAGACTCTTTTAATTAAATTTTTATAAAACAAAAGTAAATGAAGTTAGAAAGAAGACGTATATCACAAAGGAATAAGAACCTCAAAGCCATTGGAACTTTAATAACATTAATTATTAGTACAAATAATGCTATATTAATTTTAAAATAGAGGAGAAATTTCTTGAATTAAATTATAATAGTCCCATGTGTATGTTTATTCGATAACATTTTAAAATTTTGGAATCGTAATATGCTTTTAAATTTCACACACTTATTCGAAATTAACATATTAACAATTTAGAGAATATAACTAAATTAGGAAATATAAATTAAATTAATATAAAATTATAATATAACATACAGATAATATTATTAATGTATAGAAATACATATATGTATATAGAAATAATACAACGATATGATATAGTTATAAAAGATAAATATATTTTTTACATATTATGTATGTACATATCATATACATGTATGTATAAATATACATGCACACATATCTCAAAAAACCAAACTGAAAAAGATTTTATCAACATTTTTATTCGTTTCAGTTAGCGTAATATCATAAGTTTTTCAATAGTGCTATGAATTATGTTTAGTCAATAATTTCTAATTATGCGAGTAACATAATAGCGATACTATATAAACTGAAGTAATATAACACAAATAAACATAGGTGAGCAGTGGGGAAAATGCTAAGAACATTGACCTTGGCTTATGTTTAGGTTATGTTTAGCTTAGGTTATGTAACGGAATACGTAATGCTAGTTCTAAGTAGATCTAAGTTGCACACTAAGATTCTCGAGTACCGTAAATAAAATAATTACATGCTATTACCACGAATGAACAACAATTTGCCAAATGACTTCAGTTACAATTTTGAGTACAAAGTATCGAGTAGAAACTAACCTTAAAAATTTTAAGTAGCATTTCTTTATTAATTTGGTAGTTTTGATGTTACAACATTATATATACAATGAACAATATAATTGGACGATGACAACATATCGATCCACGAATTTGTCAGTAAATACTTGTCAAATGAAGCATTTGTAGGTTATGTTGTCTGTCGTAGTTATGTCATACACAATGATATTATCATACTAACTATCTATATTATCTATACTAACGCACAAGACAATACTTGTTGGTTTATTACGATATTAATTTTATAATATTATACAAAAAATATTGATAGAATGGAGATGAATAATTTGTGAGAATAATTTGAGATAATAAATTGTGAAAATTTATTTTGCGTCTATATTTCGAAAATAGACTCCAATCTATAATAGCTAACAGCTATTTTATTTATTATACTTCCTTCTTACTGGTATTTATTATTATTTATTTCTTCAGATTTAGTATTATGATACAATGGAAGTACATTTATTTACGGTCACCCATAGCACTGTGTTTTATGCTGTCCATGGGTATTCTGAGAGCTTTTTCGCTATGCTTTATGTTTCTGACCACCTGTAGTGTTACTGACTTCCCGATTCTACGATGCAAAGTCGTGTTTGAAGTTTACGAGTGATCTAGTCACAGGGTAATTTAGTGTAGCAACTTTATCGTTCCTTTACGAGAAGCTGTTATTTTATCAAACTTGACAGCAATATTTCGTGGTTCCTGTTCTTCGAATAATAGTGAACTGAACACAGGAAGTAATAATTCAGCATGTCACATTTCCTATTTTCCTTGAAAAATATTATTATATTGTTAATAATTATTTCCTATTATTATTATTACGTAGGAAATAGTAATAAAGTATTTGTTAAAGCCAATAATGTGATAAACAGGGGATTGATTGCCGATTAGTAAATATTAGAAAAGTAAAACTAAGAATAGTTAAATTTCGATATAGAAAGAAATTTAATAAATTAATTAGTAATTGTTACGACCTAAAAATTGTATAATATTTTGTACTTTAAATTCAGGGTGATATCATTTTACATATTTTGTAAAAATTTTTTTAATTTTGTATAATGTAGAGTAATTTCAAAATTGTAATACGCAAATATCTCCATTTTTTGAATTTTATTTTGTTTAGATATTATTGTACTATTATATTTTATCGTTACGCCATTGCGTATATACCAAATGACAAACTTAACAATATTGGTTTCTAAACATACGTGGTTTCTTTAGAAAATCATATATTTAATATACAGGGTGTCCCAGCAACGGCAGTACAACCAGAAAGGGGTGATTCTACGTGAAAAAGCAAATCGAAAATAAAGAATAAAATTTTTTCATTCAAAGCGTCGTTATCGAGAAAATTGGCTTTGAATATTCACTGAGTGCGCGTGCACTTAGCTATGTCTTATATGAATAGACCATCGATACATAAGTATCGGTGGTAAAATTGAGGAGGGGGTGGTTCTACGCGAAAAAACAAATCGAAAATAAAGAATAAAATTTTTTCATTCGAAGCCTCGTTTTCGAGAAAATCGACTTTAAATATTCACCGAGTGCACGTGCACTTAACTTTGGCTATGGCGGATGGACCATCAGTGTATCAGCATATTCGGTGGATATTCAAAGCTGATTTTCTCGAAAATGAGGCTTCGAATCAAAAAATTTTATTTTTTATTTTCGATTTAATTTTTAACGTAGAACCACCCCCTTCTCAATTTTATCACCGATATTCATGTATTGATGGTCTATTCATATAAGCCATAGCTAAGTGCACATGCACTTAGTGAATGTTCAAAGTCGATTTTCTCGAAAACGAAGCTTCGAATCAAAAAATTTTATTCTCTATTTTCGATTTATTTTTTCACGTAGAATCACCCTTTTCCCGGTTGTCTTACCGTTGCTGAGATACCCTGTATATCTAATATTAATTAACTTCTTTGCTACGAAAAACGTATATATATGTATATAATAATAATAAATATAGTATATACATAAAAGAGCGTATACTCGAAAATGTTTAGTTAGTTAATCACTTGCTGTTAATGTGCATATATGTTCTTTCATAACACAAAATCATTTTCTTCACTTCTACTCAGGCTACGGTCACAGTGACTGCGTATGCGACGAATAAATTTACGAATTATTAGACTAGATAATTGGCTTGAATTATGAATTACTAATGGCAAAATATTCACTGGACAAATATGATAGGCTATGGTTATTTCCTTCTTCTCTTTATATCTTCCTTTCACAAAGAAATGGAGATTGCACAATCGTTTGCACAATCGATGATGCGATCAATCAATTCTGACGAATTCACAAAACATCCAAAGAATGGAATGCATGCAATATAATCACTTTCATAGGAATTTATTTATCCG